GATTCAGGTCGTCAGAAGCTTTCTTAACAGTTTCTGGGAACGGAAAAGTTTTGTTGTGAACAATACAATGAATCTTATCAGAAAAGTAGGTGTCCATTATGAGTAATTGGCCAACATCCCGACGATTGGTTGTTGAGACTTCAGGTCGTGCGGTGGAGCAAGTTCACGCAGTGGTCTGAATCCATCGGGGTCCGGCCTGAATTTGCCTCTAAATACTTCGAATTATACGATAGTAATTTTCTGCACTCTGACGATGCTTTTGTTCATACCTTTATGTCGTAGAATAAAACCACTAGAAGTTGCAGTCATGTTTTTCGTGGTTCTCCGGAAATGATGATGTTATCTACATACACTTAAGTACCAGGTAGCGGTTTGCGTTCAATAAGACTAATTATGGCTCTTTGGAAACACGCCATGCCATTTATAACTCCGAAGTGAATGCGATGAAACTGATCCAAATTTTTGCGAACTTCAAATACAGTGTACACTTCTTCTCTTTCGCTTATAGGTATTTGATGATATGCATTTCGCAGATCCAAAGTACTATAAACATTTCAGTGAGACATCTCAATTAGTTCACCGATCCGAAGTAACTGAAACACATCGAGATAAGTGAACCAGTTGATCCTCTGACCGTAGTCTCTCGTTACTATTACTGGCACTTGGGCGCGCCATGAAGATTTGGACGGTTCGATTGTCTGTTCGTTAGCAGTCCTTGGACTTCAGTTTGAATAAATCCCTCGTCAATCGCGGAGTCTCGTCGTGACTACTTGGCAATGGGGCCAAATCTTGGAATAGAAGAGGCGGTACGATACGCACTGCTGACAGCATGTAGACAGAGAAGGGTAGTTTCTGGACACCAAATTGATCCTTCGGAAATCATGACCGAGCAAAACATCGGCTAGAGGTTGGGCAACACTGACAGCTTGAACTGCGGACAAACGTCACCCTTTTGTACAGTGCTTCGTGGATGTAGCGTGCCATGTCCAAGCCATAGTAATTTGATTGCAGGAGCTTTGTATTTTCTATGGGTGCTTGTATGCTACTGTGGAGGCGATGTAGCTCTTGGAGCTACGTATATCGACGAGTGCTGATAAAGCAACCTCATTGGTGGTGATAGTCATCGTTGCATCAGTGAGAACGTGACACGGCAATGATGTTGAAGGATAGGAGTGAATGGTCTGCGGAAGCCACGGTGCGTTTACCTTGGTTGTAGGATCGGCATACCTTTTGAGACTGGCCGGCTTTAACACAAGATTTGCATGTTGTGTCCTTGGCAGGATATTTTGTACGAGGACATCTCTTATAACCGCAAAAGTAACAAGATGAGTTGGCAGCGACAGTTACAGTATCATCAGCAGCTGTCTTTGTGAACTCGGTGGCGCGCGCTCTGGGATCTACACTGCACATAAAGGAATATGCCTTTGAGTATGCCGCGGACTACGCACACATTAGTCCCAGTGATCCGGCTTTGTCGAATGCGCTCTCACAATTAAGTGAGCTGTGTTCCAACAGCCTCTGTCGAATTTCACTTGATCATCTCACAGATGAAGGCATCGTGAATGGCATCGTCGCGATGCGTTACAGTAACCGCCTGAAAATTGTACTCCGCAACTATTTTTTAGCTTCTGCTGGAGCTTATGGAGTGCTTGTTCGGAATATTGTTTCGTTTCACACAAGAGGCGCCGTGCGTACATCTCATTTATGTTCGTACGTAAAGGAAAGATAAAGTCGGTATGACCGCATTGTAAAACGCAAAATCAGCGATTCGTTCATGGTTGACAGTAGAAATATCATGGACAAGACAGCACGCACCAGCCTGACCATCTCTCAGTTACTTTCTTTATGCCTTTCTGCCAATTCGTGGATTGACCACATCGAGCTTTCGTCAAACTTGGTACAACCACGGCGTATGTTGCACACTGAGGAAGGCGGTCAACGGGCATACGGGCAACCGAAAGGCTCACTGCCCACGCAACACATGAACCCTCATAACCGTTTCGCTGACAGTTTCTTTTCCTCCTTTTTGTTGTTTTTATCATATGTTGTGGTACTCTACCAGTTGTTTATTGGCCAAGTGTTAAATACATACAACGTAAGCAGTTAAGCTTCAACAAACACTCGAATGAGGCACCAGAAAGCCAGTTGTCAAAAATGATCTGGCTAATCGCGGCATTGCTCACGCGGTGTTCCCATCAGACTTGGGCAATACTCCGCAAGCACCGGTGGTCAAACACGGCCAAGCGTTTAATGTCTTCATTGCGAACTGGCCAGGTCTCGGATCTACACAGTAATACTGATCATACCACAGCGTTGTACACCATACTTTTCACTGTTACACGGTCTTCATATATGGTTGAGCCTCTGAAATACCTTGCTGATACGCGAGGTAACCTTCTCAGCGATGTGCCCACCTGAGTTGATCAACTACCAAGGTACGTGAACCGATCCATCATTTCCAGTGGGGTGTTCGGTGATGGCGAGAACCGATAGTGTATCAGTGCAGTCCCGCAGCAGTACTTTACACTTGGAAGAGGCAAAGCACATGCTGGAACGTGCAGCACTGCTTATCAGTCTATCCAGTAGTGTTTGCATATCTACTGCTTCAGACCCAAGGACAACTATGTCATCCGCGTACTCAAGATTTGGTAGTCGGCTACCTGGTAGAATCAGAAAGAACCGAGTCATTCATGGTCATTTCGATCATAAAGTTGAAGTTGAAAGGAGATCTGGGGCAACCCTGACGATCTCCACTTGTCATGGGTAACTCAGGGGACAGTTCTCCTTAGCCTTTACACAGCTTCGGGAGACACAGTAGACAGAGTGCATAGTAAAAAGGGTTTTATCTGGCACTGCCCACACTCGCAGTCAGTGCAACAATCTTGCGCGGTCAACAGAGTCGAAGGCAGCTTCCAAGCCAAGTAAAATCACCGTGGTTCCTCCTCTGCAACTATATCTACCCTAACGCTTGTCGGAGAGTAACTATGTGGTCGATACAACCACGACCAGAGTGAACTTCTGTCTGGCTTTCAGTGATTCAGCTCTCACGATGACTAGTAAGTAATTGAAGAATGATACCCGTGCGATGTTTGGAAGTAAGGCTAATACTTCCATTATTTTCGCACAAGTTGCGCCGATCCTTCTGGGAGATTGGCATGACACTTGACAATTTCCACTCTGAAGGCATCTCTTGTGTCCCTAATCGTTTTAAATAGAGAGGCAGGTCCAATCAGCGAAGTCACCTGCATCTTTCAGCGGAGATAGAGGATGATCCTCGTGCCTGGTAGCCTTGTTGCTTTTCAACACGGTGAGCTCATATCGAATCTCCTCTAAGGTGGGAAGTGTGGCATAAATATCTTACCTCGGTTGAGGTGAGTCAGCAAGTGTCAGAGTGTGGCACCGGGTCTTCCGAACTGCTCTTCAAAATGTTCCGCCCAAAGGGCTAGTCGATGGGACTGGGAATGGATCAACTATTCATCTTTCTCGGGTATTGTCTTACTAAGTGATGGCTTTCTCGACCCCGTGTTTCCAATGAGCTGGAGCAGCACTCGGCTGTTCCCAATAGCATTGGCTTTCTACATTACACTGGCCCTTGCCAACCGCCAACATTTGCGGTTGATTCGTAGACTCCTTGTCGATCGTGGTTTCAGATCCTTACGGGCGCGCTGAAGTTCTGTACCCTATGGCGTCTGTTTCCGAGCTTCGATAAAACTGCTCGACCCCTCGGAGATCCATTCTCAGTTACGACGGCGCCCAGCTGGCGTCGAAAACATTCTTCATGACATACATGAGACGGTTCCTCTAAGAGTTCAGCTCACCTACCTCATTTAACATTGACAGTTGATGGGCTAGTTCGTCATGATGTCCCAGTTTTGCAAACTAAAAGTTCAATTTAGAGATTAGGTATTAAGTCAGGCGTTTTTCTGAAGCCGAAATTTTGAGCTCCAGGCGTGTGCATACTAGAGTATGGTCATATTCAGAGCAAGTGCTCCAAATTGAACGAGCTTTGAGCATACGTGCGCAATCTATATCTGCTGACAATATTGTCAATTCGCGTCCAGGTTATCGAGGAATTCGCTTGTGCTCGGGGCGCGGTTACAAAACCGTTTGCATGTTTTGCATGCATCGAACCCCAAGTAGTCCCCCAGATGTTACTCCGAATTTGAAAGACGACACACTGTTGCATTCAAGTTGTTAGCAACAATCAAGATGTCAGTATTGTTTGCCATGCGAAGAAGAGATGAGAGTTCACGACAGAGTTCGTCTTTGACACCCTCCGAATTGCAGTCACTAGGAGCACATACGGAAGCAATGAGAAGGCACCTTATCTTCATACCGTGCTTATTAACCATAATTGCTGTTTCAGTTCGAGCCGCACACACGCGGCTGTTTACTGCTATCCAGTCAAGTAGATTGGCCACATCACGTTTGCTATGGGTGACACCAACACCATCATAAATGCGTTAAGTCATTGACTCGAAATCGCCAGAGGCAGGAGGAGTAGCTTCGGAACCAGGTAGTCTAAAATTTGTCACATCGCTTTGTGCGTGTTTCGGATACTCAGCACACTTAAATACTAAGAGAATGCAGTGTGAGAGTTAGTGCTGCTTGTTTATCGATTTTATCCATAGTACGGACGTTAACCAATGTGAAAATGTACTCTAGGTTTGATGAACGGGCTACTTGTATCTATGATAGTAGCTGCGAGGTCAGCGACAGTCTCTTGCTCACTAGACGGGACGGCCGTCTTCACGGTATACTCAGCCCGCACGCGACTGATGATTGTCGCGCGGTAGCGAATTTCCGTTACGGCGTACAGCTGCCGGTTTATTTTTTTCTTCCAATATTGCCATCTTAACTTTCCGTCTTTGACACGTGAGACATTCAGGAGTTGCCTATTCACCACCTGGATATATATTCTTTATAACAAAAATACCTTGTAATTGTAACTTGTGATTCCCTTCTGCCCTGATGCATTCTTTCATCAATCTTGTTCCTCAGCCGTGGCTGTCTATTTTATCCTCTTTATGGATTTAGCCACATAACTTCGCGCCAATTGGCTTGCTGCTATGATGGTCAAAGATAAAAACCATCCCAAGCACCCAATGTCTGCTTATGCCTGCTTTGTGCAAGTTATCCGCGAGGAACATCGGAAAAAACATCCTATCGAAAATGTTCTTTTCAGCGAGTTTTCTAAGAAGTGTGCCGAAAAGTGGAAGGTACGTTTTTAACTTTGTAACCTATATATTGTTCGGTAGCAAATGACCGCTGAACAACGGCGTTGTTTTGATGAAATGGCGAAGCTCGATTTGGATCGATTCAATCATGAAATGTCCGTTTACGTTCCACCCACGGGTGTACGACGGGGTCGCCGTCGTCGGCGTATCAAGGATCCTTGTATGCCAAAACGTTCCTGGTCAGCGTTCTTTTTCTTTTGTGACGCCTTTCGCTCCAAGATTCGCACAGAGCATCCCGACTGGAAGGTGAGTGATATCGCCAAAGAACTAGGTCGCCGGTGGGAAGAGTGCACTGACAAGGAGAAATATGAACGGCACGCTCAAAACGACAAACTTAGATATGAGCAAGATATGCTTAAGTACAAGGCCGGTATATATGTGGCTACCAAACGTGTTCGTGTGGAGGATGACGCGGATCCGATGGACGCAGCTGTTGCGTCGGAGAATACAAATCAGCAGAAGACTAATGTCAACAGCATCCCCACTCGAGATGTCGAGGACGAAGAAGACGAAGAAGAAGAAGAGGAGGTGGATGAGGAGGAAGATGAGGAGGAGGAAGAGGTAGATGAGGACGATGAAGGTGTTTGCGTTGGCGGCGATCCTACTGCTGCTGTCTCGATTACCAGCGGAATCAACGCACAAGCAAACGAAATGGATAGGGAGAATTGACCCTTTTCTACGTCCCTAGTTCTGATTTTTTTGCATGTACACACTGTCTGTAACCATGTACTGATGCTCTTTCGTGCGTACTAAGCTAGCATTTGTAAGAGAGACCTACCATTTTGCTGCTCTCCTTCAACCGCATTTAACATAATGTTCGTGAGTGGTCCTTGCTTTTGTCATCATCGTTAGCCGAGTCTCTACCCATTGTTTCATATTTTTGTTTACTCTAGTCACTCTATTTTAATCTTACCGATTCCTACTTCCCGTGCAGTTCCATCCTGGCACTCCAATGTTTTTTGCCTCGTTTGCATTACTTCTGCTTTTTTTCATTTCCAATAGGTCTCCTGGAATTTAACGACGTAATTCATTCCGCGTTGTGCGTTGCGCACGTAGTAGCTCTGGATAACCAAACGCTGCTACAATGACGGTTGTGCTTCCATTCTTAAAGTTGATGTTCGCAGTTTCAAAAAATAAACTTATTCGCAGCCACAAACTTTTGGCTGTTAGTTCTCATCCCACTTAATTTACATTTCCCGTGTGTCTACCGGTGACGCGACATAAGTGCGACGAACATCGACCGTCTGCTCTTTCGCAGGATGTCACTGTTGGCGGTAGTGTTTAGTTCTTGTTGACCCAAGCGAAATTGGCTTTACTGTCATTGATTCTAATTCACAAGTCGTTACATTTGCGCACCAAATCTCTGCATCCATGCACCAGCGCTCTGACTTTTACTTTACCATTCGGAATTCTTCGTGATACTTAATGTGATTTGATTAGCCCCATATATTACCAATGAGTAGGAGGCTTTTTAATTGTAGTTGTAATCTTTCCGTCTCAGCTACTCACAAGCTACATAGCACAGCCTAGTCTGGAAAAGCACCAGACACGTTTGGCCCCATTGGGGCTCGTCAGTGGTGCGCATTCCCTCGATACCCGACTGGGGATCGAACTCATGACCGCTAGAGGCATCATCATCATCATTACACACGTCAGCTAGAGGTGGGCAACACCTCAGCTACTGTGCCGCAATACATAAAGGAAAAGGGAAATAAATACAACAGTTGCATGCCAGCTGAGCTACCAGCAACGGATAGGCATCGTTCCGGTAAGCTACCAGCCGGCTACTAGGCAAAAAGAAAAAAATTATTATGTTTCACGTTACGAAATGAGATTGTAGGTGGAGGAGGAGGCTAAAAGGGATGGGGAGGGACAAAGAAACTCACAGCAGGAACTTCACTGTGGTCGGCTCCTTGCCATATCAGCAAGTGCATCCAGCCATACGTGTTCACCGTCTTTCGGACCCCAACCGGGGAGCCGTGACGCCCCAACCGAGGCAAGCTCCGAAGTGAGGGCCTTCATTCCCCTGGACCAAGTCATCGCTTGGCCACCCCTCCTCTTCTTCCATCCACACACCCGACGCGCAAACAACGCACGTCGTGGAAGCCGGTGGGCTGGCATCCGAAACACGTGGCCCAGTCATCGGAGCCTGGTGCGTGAAATGACGGTGCTGAGCGTTTCAGTTCCTTTTTCTGTGCTGTAAACAAGGCGTCAAACACGCTCGTTACTCACGCGGTGTTCCCACCAGATGCGAGCCAAACTACGAAGGCACTGATGGTCGAACGTAACTAGCCTCTTCATGTCCGCCGATCTTATGGGCCAGATTTCGCAACCGTACAGTAGAATCGAACGTACCGCTGCATTGTACACTCTACACTACAGGACGAGAGTAATGTCGCGCCGCCGCCATAGGTGACGAAGGTTAGCAAAAGCACTTTGAGCTTTTGCTGTACGGTTCATGATCTCGTCTTCGATCCCTACGGCGCTGATACAACTTCCCAGGTAGTTAAATTTCTGAACGACTTCTAGCTGATCCCCACTAAGGGTCAGCGCAGGAGGCGATCCCTGCCAATCTCGGAGGAACGCTTTGCATTTCGATGGTGCAAAGCAAAGCCCGAAGTGGCTGACAGCCAGTGCTAATCTGTCCAGCGCGGTTTGGCACGTCTGGGAGCTGTCACAGATAAGGGAAATGTCGTCTGCATACTCCAAGTCGAGAAGTCGTTCTCCTGGGAGTAGCTCCACACATTCCAAGTCATATCCTCTGAATACAATCTCCATGACTTCGTCAATAGCGAAGCTGAAGACGAAAGGAGGCAATGGGCATCCTTGTCTCACACCGCTGGAGATATTGAAGGGCGGAGACAGTTTACCGTAAGCCCTCACTCTGCCCGAGCAATCGCATATAATGCTCGAATAATATTTACATATTTCTCGAGCACATTTTTCCTGAGTAGACAATTCCAAAGGGCACGTCAATCAACCGAATCGAAGGCACCTTTGATGTCGAGGAACACGACTACGGTGGGCCGCCAATATGTGTGACGGTGCTCCAACAACTGACGCAAGGTGAAGATGTGGTCGATGCAGCCACGACCCCGACGAAACCCGGTTTGCTCCTCACGAATCTGGCTTTCACGAGCACTAGTCCGTCTGTGAAGGATTATGGAGGTGAGTAATTTGGAGACAACGGAGGTCAGACTGATTGCTCTATGATTGCCGCATTCCGAACGCGAGCCTCCTTTGAAGATGGGAACAAAACGGAGCGGCTCCAGTCGGTTGGGACAGTCTCCTGCTCCCACAGTTTCACTAGCAATTCATGTAAATCATCAACAAGAGTAGAGCCTCCGAATTTGAAGGGGGCTGGATGAAGATCATCTGTTCCCGCGGCTTTGTTCAACTTCAATAGTCCGATCTCACTTTCGACTTCTAAGCGTGAGGATGGATCCAAAGGGACAGCCCATGGAGCAGGGCGATCACTGGCCGGTGAAGAATCGAACAATTCTAGCCGATTAAATTGCTTTTCAAAATGCTGAGCCCAACGGTCCAAACGTTTTGACAAACTGTGGATAGGCTGTCCACTCTCGCCACGTATAGTTTCACTAAGACCAGGTCTCCTGCTGCCCGTTTCCCGTAGCACACGGAATAACTTACGATGGTTACCAAGGGCAGCGGCCACTTCCATCTCTGACGCACGATGAGACCACCAAGATTCGTGGTCTCTCTTCAGGATAGCACGGAGTCCTGTCCGGAGCTCTTTGCGAGTTTCATTGTGCTCGCTTCCAGCCGGGATATGCCGGCGAGCGTCGATAAGTTCCAGAGACCGCAAAGAGACCCAATGTCGTAGCTGCCTCGGATTTCCTGGTACTGCTTCTTGCCCGGTATTCAATTAGAATTGATCAATGACCCAAAGCTTTGTCAATCAGTGTGGTGGCGTAGCCCATCCCTCTGACTAGCGCTGCCACATCCCCACTTAACCTGTGTAACCACATTGCTCGTTTGCCTGGTGTGCGCAACTTACCAAAGTCGGAATAGCACACAGCGTCAACTAACTCACTGTGTCAAATAACAGCACTATGATGAGTAGCAGAAAGCAAGTAGCTGCGAACCCGAAATGACCCTATGTGCAGGGTGTCTGTGGGTCGGCTGCATGTAATCGATCCGTCAAATTACATTTAGTCTGCTCACACGGTTCTAAACCGTGCCATCAAAAGTGCGCAAATCTTTCCCAACGTGCGGTGAGAAATCCAAACAGCTCCCAAGACGTCCTCTGCATTTGTACTACGTGTTCGACCGTCTCCTTCTTCAAGTGTATGCTTATCTTAGTCCAAAGTGCGACCTGTTAGCAGCAAAAGTTGACCAGCAAATGGACATTAAGGTTATATCCTTGGAAGCGAGCATGCACCAGAACAGCGTAGTGCCCTCTAAGCAAAACAATGGTACATCATTTGCTTCACCCGAACCATGATCGGCAGGGCACCCATTGTCATTATCTCCTCCAACTTTATAAGAACACAAGGCGAAACAGACCGGGGTTCTGATTGTCAAGTGGTACTCATAACCAAAAATTCAGGCGCCACCCGGAACGTGTGATCGATCGAACTCCTCCGTTCTCACCAATTTTTATCATTAACGAGGATGGGGCAGCCGAACACCAGGTTTCTGCATCTGCAACTCCAGAGTCTCTGGTAGAGTTCAAGTCCCCCAGGAATTCAGTCACCTATGCAGAAGTCGCTACAAAGGTCATTCGGGATGCAACAGGTAATGTATCCTCTGTTTCAGAAGTCGCCTTAGTGAACAGCGAGATATAAAGCAGACCATCATCACCTGGCTTAAAGCCAAAACAAATGATCATCCATCCTTCCAGTTCGATGAAAAAGAGAGCAAACAATAATGCTCTGACTGTTGTACGCACAAATGTCCCCGACTTTGTCGCCACCACATTGCGGGGTAAGTTGTCTGACGACCAGAATCTGTTTAACTCATTGGCTGGCTAGCCGAACAACCTCCACGTGGTGCCAGCTGTGTGGTTCGGGTTAATCCGGCTCCAGCTAATATTTCGGTGGCTGTGTTCCAGTACGTGGTGGGTTACCGCCTGGCAAGCGCTCTCCCTATAGAAATCCACAAATGTCTGCTTGACGACACGTGGCGGATATGACTCGTCACTAAATAAAGTCATTGCCCTACCGGAGGATCCTACCCATTTCGCCAACGGCAACCACTTCAAACATTTCATCTGATCCCCTTTTATCTCGACGAATTCACCGAACAAACTCACCAATTCACAGTAATAGTAACAAATTCGAACAACATGATGACTTGCACATACATACTACACACATATATCCAGTAGGTTAACTGGTTAACTTGTGACATTTCTGTACCTTTACTGATGTTACACCTTTGTATTATCATAACCATGCCTTTGAAAGCCTGCCTCGCACCGTCTAGAATAAATCATTTATTTATTTATTTATAGAAGTCAACCCCACAAACCTATTACGAGTTACTCGTCATCCGAGCTTTGCGCAATATTGCGAACCCTGGCTTATTAGAGTAACAATAGAGTCATCCACTGATTGTTGGACTAGTTATTACTAGTCCGAGATGGTGCGCGAAATTAAGCGCGGATATCAGAAGGCAATTGGAGTCGGACACAGCGTACTGTATTCGATGGGCTACAATAAGAAGCGGACGGATGAAGCGAGAAGAGAGCGAACACGTGAGCGCGGGAACTTACATGGCTGTTGAGTGAAGAGCGGGTTGTAAGGAAGATTAAAACAAGTAGGAGTAATGTACAATCGGTCAAAAATTAAGTTGTACATGAAAGATAGCAGTTATCTTTTGGGGCGCTACAGAGCTCCCCCCTAGAACGCTGAACATAGAAAGCCTTCGAAATCGAAAAGGACTGTTGAAACGAGGTTCGTAAGGCAAAATCGTGCCGAGTAAAAGTGAATGAGCGTTCGTGTCAAGTGGGGGTTCGTCAGCAGTCAGAGTCCGCTGTGCCGTTTGTGATTTGTTATTTATTGATTGCAGGGCAGGGTGCATTTCGGCGGGTTGTTGGAGCGGACTTGTCGGACTACAAAAAAACTGGCTGGCCCAAAAAAAAGGCCGACAGGACCTCAACCTCCGCTGCTGCCAAACGGTGCGCTTGGGAGTGGTCTCTCTCCCCGCCGCAG